CCCAGCGCGGGGGCGGAGTCTGGGCATGGCCAAGCAGCCTGTGGACCTGGAGGACGAGGACAGGGTGGCCCCGGAGCCTCAGGGCCAGTGGCACTGATGATAATCCGTCCCCATCTCCAGCTGTGTGGACGCCACCACTTTCCTCTACTTCAGCTTCTTCGCACCGCTCATCTACGTGGCCTTCCTCCGGGGCTTCTTTGGGTGAGTCTGGCCGGTCCGGACCTGCTCTCTGTCCAGCACCCCAAGGCTCCAGGGCCACGGGTGCCCTCACGTGGTGGACAGTGAGACTGCGCCATTTGCTTCCTGCGCATGCGCGGAGTGGTAGCGGCACTCGGATACAAGGCAAGGCTTGCCTGGTGTCTGTACGCGCATGCGTATAGACGTGCACCCGCGCAATCTCGCGCCTACGTGCGCGTACACGTATGCAAACAGATGGAATAGGCCGTCCGTGAACGCGGACTAGTGCACTTTCCCCAGGAGAGTGTGGCTGGGCATGGCGCCCTGCGTTGCTGTCTTGCACTCATTCATGAAGCAAGCTTTCGCTGAGCACCTACTATGTGCTGGCATTGCTGTAGTCAGTAGACACCACAGGGCAGGATTAAAAACAAGGCTTGTGCCTGTCATGTCAGGAACTGAGGAGGCCGAGGCAGGAGGATCGCAAGTTGGAGGCCAGCCTCAGCAATTTAGGGAGGCCCTGAGCCACTTAGCAAGATTCTTGTCACAAAATTAAAAAATTTTAAAAAAGGGGCTGCAGATGGGGCTCCGTGGTTAAGCGCCCCAGTTCCATCCTAGTACCCCAGTCTGCGTGGTGACCTTCTTAGGGTGGGCTTCCATACCTGGGCCTCTCTGGACTCCCAGGGTGAGGCCCCCAATCCTCTCTCCTACCCACCAGCTCGGAGCCCAAGATCCTGTTCTCCTATAAATGCCAAGTGGACGAGACGGAGGAGCCGGACGTCCACCTGCCCCAGCCCTACGCCGTGGCCCGGCGGGAAGGCTTAGAGGCCGCGGGCGCTGCTGGGGCCTCGACTGCCTCCTATTCCAGCACACAGTTCGATTCCGCGGGCGTAGCCTACCTGGACGACGTGGCGTCCATGCCCTGCCACGCGGGCAGCATCAACAGCACCGACAGCGATCGGTGGAAGGCCATCAACGCCTGAGAGCCGCCTCCCTGGACCTGCGGGGACAGACGGGACCGGGGGCCGAGGCCCGACTCCCAGGTGGAGCAGATGAAGGGTTGGGGGCGAGGCCTGCACCTCCTGCCCTCCAGCCCCCAGTTCCCTTGGTGGCCAGTGCTCCAGCTGGGGACCCCTCGTCCTTTTTCCATCCCCTCGCCCGGCTCAGCAGGCCAGACTGGTCTCCCAGGGACAGAACCTCATTGCACAGGATGGCTGCTGCCCACCTCCCCTCACTGCCCCACTCCGCAGCCACTGGTCTCCTCCGAGTGCACAGCGTGGGGGACCAGCGGTGGCGTGTATATTTTCTTGATTTATTTTTTAATAAAAAGGAAAAGAGTAGAAAGTGTTGATGTGGAAGTTTCTAGAAGGTGGAGCTGGGTTCCTCCGGGCAGCGTGAGGGGGGCTCCTCTTGGCCCAACCAAAGGACATTCAAAGATGCCAGCCGCTCTGGCAGTACCTCTGTAGAGGCCCGGGGGGAGCTGGCACATTTGTCCCCTGGTGGCGGAGCAAGAGGCCCCCTTGGAGGAGCAGGGAGGGGGCAGGGCCACTTGCTCAGCCTTGGTGTGAGCCACCAGGAGGGGAGTGACTCTGGTTCTTCTCACCGCTCTGCGTCAGCCTGGCCTTCCAAACAAGACCCACCCTCCCCTGGAGGCCAGAACTGCACCGAAAACCTGCCCAAAGACTGCGTGTCCAGAGCATTCTAGAATGTTCTACATCGGGATTCAGACCCCCCCCTCCCAGGGCAGGGGGCAAACACAAGATCCTTCTGGATTTCTCAAGGTTGCAGTTTCTCCAAAGGCCTGCCCTGTGCCCGGTGCAGTGGTGCCCGCCTGTCATTCCAGCCACTGGGGAGGCTGAGGCAGGAGGATCGCAAGGTGGAGGCCAGCCTCAGCCACTTAGCAAGGCCCTAAGCAACTCGGCGAGACCCTGCCTCTAAATAAAATAGAAAAAGGGGCTGGGGACGGGGCTCCGTGGTGAAGCTCCTCTGATGTGTAATTATCAGGACTGTCATTATTAATAATCATTAATGTCATTAATAATAGTTATTATTCATAATTAGCATAATTAATTACTCCCTTGAGATGAGCGTGGGGTGTGAAACTAGCTGTTAGATTCTGAAGACAGACAAAGACCGATTTTTTTTGGGGGGGGGGGGAGGTGGTGTCCTACTGGAGATTGTACCCAGGGGACGCTTACCCCCTGAGCCACCTCCCCAGGCAGGTCGTGAGGTCTGCTGGTTCTGGGGCGAGTGGGGACACGGGGACAGCAGCATCAGGAGCAGCTCCTACGGTCACCTGGGCTCCTTTACCCTCCACTTTTTTAAAAAAAATATTTTTTATTTCTTCTCCTTAGCTCCCCGTGACAGCAGCGAGCATCCTGCCATGTCCCACCTACACGGGGTGTGACGTCCCACTCCTGTGGCTGGACCTGCTGTGGGGCGTCCCTGGTCCTGGGTTCCTCTGTGAACATGGGAAAGTGACGTCCATTCATTCCCCTGTCTCTCCCAGTCCCCTCCCCTCCCTTCCCTTCACTCCCCTGCGTCTCATCCAATGAACGGTTATCCCCTGTCCCCATTATTGTGGGTCAGCGTCCCCATATCAGAGAGGACCCTCAGCCTTTGGTTGTTTTGGGGACTGGCTGATTTCACTCAGCACGATCGTCTCCAGCTCCATCCATTGACCAGCAAATGCCATCATTTCATCCTTCTTGATGGCTGAGTAGTATTCCACTGTGTATATGGACCACAGTTTCTTTATCCATCCCCTGTTGAAGGGCACCTAGGTTAGTTCCACAGTTTAGCTATTGTGAGTTGAGCTGCTGTGCACACTGATGTGGCTGTGTCCCTGTCGTGTGCTGATTTTGAGTCCTTTGGGTATAAACCAAGAAGCGGGACAGCCGGGTCCCATGGTGGCTCCATTCCAAGTTTTTTGAGGCATCTCCACCCTGCTCTCCAGAATGGCTGCACCAATCTGCAGTCCCAGCAGCCATGACCGAGTGGACCTTGTCCCCACATCCTCCACATGGATTGCTACTTGTATTCTTTTTTTTTTTTTTTAAATACTTTTGGTTGTAGATGGACCCAATACCTTTATTTTGTTTATTTGATCTTTTTTAAGGTGGTTTTGGGGATCCAACCAGGGCCTGGCCCCTGCGAGGTGCACTCTGGGCGGGGGGACCCCAGGGCTGTCTGGGGTCTGGGCTGCTGGCCGGGCAATGGGTCCTGGTGACCAGGGGGCCCCTGCTGGCCACCCAAGCACCCTACGTTTTCTTTTCTCATATTTTCCGGAGACAGAGGCTCGGCCGAAGGCATCCGGCAGATCCTGATCCAACCACCCGCTGAGAAACTTCTGGAAAGCCGGTCCAGCCAAGATCTCCTTAGGGGGCTCCGAGGCCCTGGGACACCCACTGGGTTCTGCCTGGCCAGACCGTAGTGATGTCCTGGGGGGGCACACCCCGAGGACACTGTCCTCCCAGATTTGGGGGACGTGAGCTGTTTCCCCTCTCCTCTGGCTCTGGGAACCCCTCTGCGAGAAGAACCTTCTAGAAGGTTCTAGGTCTTTCCCTCTCGCTCTGGTTCCAAATACTCACCTTTATCATCGCCCCACATTGAGGTGCCCCGGGGACTTGTGCGATATTTGGAGAATTAGCTGTCACAATGTCCATGGGAGGAGAGGTCACACACGACCCGATTTTCTGCTCCTAAAAACAAACAAAACCTCAAACAACAATAAAATCACAACCACCACCCATGCACAAGCCCCCAGACCCAGTCCTGACAGGTCCTCTTGGTCTGTATGGGCCATTCTGTGACCCCTGTGGGAGGATCTCAAGTTCAAGGCTGACCTCAGCAACTTAGCGAAATAATAATAATAATAATAATAATAATAATAATAATAATTATTATTATTATTATTATTATTTGGTAGTGCTGGGGATTGAACCCAGGCCCTTGTGCATATGAGGCAAGTGCTCTCCCCATTGAGCCCCGTCCCCAGCCTTATTTCCTATTTTATTTAGAGACAGGGTCTCGCTGAGTTGCTTAGGGCCTCGCTAAGTGGCTGAGGCTGGCCTCCAACTTGCGATCCTCCTGCCTCAGCCTCCCCTCCCCAACTGCTGGGATGACAGGCATGTGCCCCATGGCGCCCGGCATAAATAATCCAATACCCGTTTGTCCTTGGGGGAAGGGAGCTGGCAATCTTGGATCAGGGGTGGGGAAAGATGGGCTCATGTTAGTCACAAACCTGTTTATATTTTCATGAACATTTTTTTTGTGTGTGTGTGTTGGGTGTGGTCGCACACCTGTCCTCCCAGCGGCTCGGGAGGCTGAGGCAGGAGGATCGCAAGGTGGAGGCCAGCCTCAGAAACTTAGCAAGGTCCTGAGCCACTCAGCGAGACCCTGTCTCTCAATAAAATAGAAAAAGGGCTGGGGACGGGGCTCAGGGGTGAAGCGCCCCTGGGTTCAATGCCTGATACCCTCCCCCCCAAAAATATATATTTTTGCTTTATTTGCATGTCTCCTATGTGAAGGCCTGAATTAAAAATGAAGAAAAGAAAGGCATGCTTAGGTAAGCACGTTAGCAGGGATGTCCCCGGGGGCTAGGGACACACACACAAGCCACCCAGCGTGCTCCTTGCCCATGTGCAGATTTTCAGGGACCCCATTCTGAGTCTCACAGGTGGTTGGGCTTCACATGGGGCTGGGAATTGGTGCAGGGGACACGGATTGGGGGCAGGGGGAGCTGGGAACAGTGGCATTTTGGGCCTTGAATTCCCCCTGGCTGGCTGAAATGCCAATTTTCTGCTAGGCTGGCTGTGAGCGGCTGGGGAATGGCTTGTGTCAACCAACCGAGCCGCAGAGCGAAGCAATTAGATAATTAAACTGTTTTTAAATTGAATTGAGAGCCCTGTGATTTCTCTGGGACGGTGGTCTCCTGGCCTTCGCCTCTGCACTGTGACGTGGATGGGAGAGGAGAGGAGCTTTTAAAGGACAGGAGGAGGGGGACCGGGCGTGGGGGTTGCACCACCTGTCATCCCAGCGGCTCTGGAGGCTGAGACAGGAGGATCGCGAGTTGGAGGCCAGCCTCAGCCAAAGTGAGGCCCCCGAGCAACTCAGGGAGTTGCTCTGAGCCCCGTCCCCAGCCCTATTTTGTATTTTATTGAGAGACAGGGTCTCCCTGAGTTGCTGAGGGCCTCGCTAAGTTGGTGAGGCTGGCCTCCAATGAGTGGTCCTCCGGCCTCAGCCTCCAGAGCCGCTGGGAAGGACAGTCCTGCTGCACTAGTTTGGGCTGGACATCTTTTAAAAGGGCTGAACTTGACAAGGGGAGGGTCTTCCTTCTTCTTTGCATGCCAGGTCCTGGGCCAGCAGGGGGTGTGACGATCCTGGTCTCCACCTTAGCTCTGCAAGGACCCAGCTGCAGGACCTGCCTGGCTTTGGGTCTGGGTGACCTTGACCGCGTCCCCCTGGGAGGGCGGTGCAGAGAAGGGAGGGGCCTCCCAAGGTCCTGGGGCATTACCTCCCGGGCGTCCCTGACGATCTGTGTCCCCACCGCGTGGGATCTAGGGCGGCTGCTGGTGTCGCTGTCTCTCACCCGGGTGCAGCCCAGGGGGGACCCAGCTCAGTGGCTCCGCGGCGGTGATCCCGGTGCAATTCTCCGTGTGGCCACTAGAGGGCGCTGCGGTACCGGGGACCGTGCACTCCGCGGCCACCAGCGCAGGGGAGGGGACACCCCGGGTCCCTGTCGGGTGCGCGCTCCGCGGCTCAGCTTCGGATGGATGTGGCGGAGCTCCGAGCTGTGCCCACCCCGCCTTGTGCACGCCCCGATCGCTTCTCCGGGCCCCAGCTCATGCCACACCCCTACAGTCCCCATGATGTCCCCTCCCCCAGACCCCGCCTTAGGGGTCCTCCCCAAGGATCCCCCCTCTTGGTGCTTCCTCTGCCGGACCCACTCCGTGTCCCATCCGTGTCAGTTCTTCCCATGCCCCTAACCTGATCTGTCAGCTCATGTCCCTTCTCAAGTCCCCAGCCATGTGTCCCACCCCCAGACTCTTTTTTTTTGGTACTGGGGATTGAACTCAGGGATCCTCGACCCCTGAACCCCATCCTCAGCCCTATTTTGTGTTTTATTTAGAGACAGGGTCTCCCTGAGTGGCTCAGTACCTCGTTTTTGCTGAGGCTGGCCTCCAACTCGCGATCCTCCTGCCTCAGCCTCCCCGGAGGCTGGGATGCGCCCTCGCGCCCGGCCCCACCCCCAGACGTCCCTGGTAACCCCAAACCGGTGCCGCTCTGTTCCCATCTTGCCTCCATTCTCGCACCGGGAGCCCCCAGACCTCCCTCCTGCTTTA